CATACATACATACATACATACATACATACATACATACATACATACATACATACATACATACAGTACATACATACATACATACTTACCCATATACATACATGCACACATACATACACATACACATATGCCATGACTGGCAGCTTTGATTGACAGCTGTCCGTGAACCAACAGATGCTTATAGTGTTAGTTTCTGTGGAATGCAGCTAAGTTCTTTAGGAAAGAGCAAGACTTTCTGTTTGTGGTTTTTATAGGTCACTATGTGCACTCTGGTTTCAAATATACACAATGTGGCAGTTCTCACATACATGGGACATTTTGGCTTCACTTTTGCACAGTAGCAATAGATGAAGTCTAATTAATTAATTAACTAATCCTATTAATCTTCATTATTAGTCTTTGGTATAAATTCACATTTAATACAGAAGAGTAAAAAAATAAATCACAACCTGTCAGGCCATGTTTAGTCTGTAATTAAGGTTTTGGTCTTTAAATATTTAAGACTGTCTGCAATTTTAACCCTCTATGAACTGAATTCGTTTCTCACTCGTTCACAAGTTATCTAAGTTCAAATATCTAAATTTGTCCTGCATTTGCATATGTCTTTTAGGTTTGAGAATTCAGTGTTCAGCCAGTGTTTTTCCTTAAATTGAAGGCGACTGAGTAATTCTAGTGAGGTGCATCGATGGTTGATTTGATTTCAAGAAGTATTACAGACAGAAGCTCCTGAGGGAGCCTGATATACACCAAAAATACTTTAGGGGGCAATGTTGCCTAAATAAAACACAGACAATTTCTGCCTTCACTATTTGAAAGGGTTCGGGAGGTCAAATCAGCTGTAGCAGAACTGAGACAGTTCCCCATCTTTACAGATTCTGGGATGAGCAAACATTGTGGCATATCTGTGCCCTCTCTCTGTAGCTGGATTGTGCTTGACTCAGCAGAGCAACGCGGCCTGAGAATTCGCCACCTTCAGCAGGTGTGCTGGTGCAGAGATGAATCAAAGGGATAGCAGCTTTCCACTGGTATCAAATAACTAATCCACACAGGACCAATTTGCACCTCAGAGTCAGCATTCAAATGCTGTCAGATCCAGACCACAGCACTGTAACTGGGCCTTACCACCTCTGGTTTTACAGGGTCTTTTATGACCTCTTTACCTTTCTCATTCCTTGGCCTGCTGAAGTACATCATACAGCAGCCGACACTTTACAGAGGCAAAAGCTACCCATTAGTCAATGCCACAGAGTGAAAAGTGCTTCTGTAATGGAATCAAAAGAGCAAAGTTACTTGTACAACTTCAGGGTTTTAAACCGAAGCACAGAGGAAAACGATCACTTTGGCTGTCAACTCCTACTTATCATCACTCCCTAATGTAGACATAAAGAGTACAATCAATATCCTTTTTTTCAACCTAATTCAAAATTATGTAAATTAAATAATAATAATTTAAAAAAACTTGAGCAAAACCTTTTCTGCCAACCTCATTAGTGGACATTACCTATCCAGGCTGAGTCAGCTTTACTGATAAACTGCAGTTCATTCTTTACAAGCATTGTAAGAATGCTGCAACAGCAAAATGGACCCAACAACGGGGTGTTGATGAAGTGAAACTTTGATTTCCTTGGATTTTAAAATTATAATACATTTTAATTATGTGCACCTTTCAAAGCACTCAGACACCTTTCAGTACAAATGGGAAAATAACCCAAGCACATAGTGAAGAAGCATAGAATAAAATATGTATTAAAAAATTCCTTACAAATTTGATCAAAGTAGCTTTTCTTAAAGAAATGCATGTTTCCAATGATTCAAGAGAACAAACACATACAGACATGATAAACCAGTTTTCATGGTAGCAGTTGATAATTAAAGAAAGTAGTAGTATAAGCTAGTCTAAACAGATACGTTTTGAATAAATGCCCTAAATTTGAAAAAAGATTCTATGGAACAGAAAGAGAAAAATCATTTTATATATGGACAGGCAGCACAGCTGAAGTCACTCAAGCCCATTGTGGATAAGTTGGCAGATGGAATACAAAGATGGGAAGGGGAAGATTGGAGAGATCAAGATGGAGTACAGTATACGGTTGAAACATTTCAGAAAAGTATGGTGAAAACAAGATTATGGAGAGCTTTGAAAGTGTGGAGGAAACTCTTAAATTGAACACGATACATAAAGGGAAGCTTGTAGAGCTGTTTAAAAACTGGAGAGATGTTCTGTAAATGGCATTTTGGTAATAATGGAAGCAGCAGAGGTTTGGTCCAGTTAAAGTTCATGGATGGATTTGGGTAGTAGAGTTACAGTAATCAATACTGTATTTAATGGCATGGATAAAAGGGGCCATGCTTTTGGCTGCAAGTGGCTTACAGAGACAATTCATAGCAATAGCATGACAATAATCTAAATGAGTAATTGTGGTTTTTTTTTTTTTCAAAAGAAAGCATGCTCTCAAGGATGGCACCCGGACTCGTCATACAAAGAGAGGGGTGGATTGTGGAACTGTCAATAGTGGTTAAGGAATAGGGAAATTTAGAAAGATTGGATTTGAAGCCAACATAAAAAATACAGATTTTGTTGTTGGGTTTTAGGAAATTTTGAATGAATTTCCTCTAATCACCTCAAATATCTAATAAACAGATAAGCAAGAGGAAGGATGTACAAAAGTGGGTATAGCAGACAGGCACAGCTGGGTGTCGTCAACATAGCATTAATTTTTTTTCCAGATAATAAAACTTTGGGGAAATGATGAAAAGAAAGGGCCCCAGGATTGAGCCCCGGGGAACACCACAAGTAATCGGACATGGTCGTGACTGCAAATGCTTAAGTATTAAAATGTTTTGCTGCAGTTTCACTAAAGACAAAGTGTTTGCTTGTAGAGCAGCTGTGATTTGAGTGGCCACTTTTCAAAAATCGCAGCCTGTTCTGTGTGCTGCAAAACTGTATTTTGGGCTGTGTACATTTATCATACATGTCAAGTTGATTGTCAGTAAAATTACAATGATTTTTCCTTATGGATTTTTCCTAAAATTTTCCTTTAAGTTTACCAAGTCTCAGAGCCAGCAGGCGATAATGAAATAAGTTTGCCACTTCCTCGTCCTCTTCTCCCTGCCTGTCTGATTTAAACTCAAACACGCCAGCCTCTCCCCCACATTGTATTGTGTCAGAGTGCTACAAATTTTTTTGTGAAAATTACGGACTTCTGAGTGCCAAGATACAAGTAATATCCAAAGCGGTACCAATGTATGATTTATTTTGGTGCCCTTCTATGCCTACATTGTACCCACCTTGGCAGCTACCATCAAATCTGTAATTCAATTTACTGGAATACATATATAAAAGAGGCAGATTTGGTTGGACATGAGGCTGGACATTCGGGGCTGTAGTATGAGATGTATTAAAAAACACGTTTAAGCTGTTGTCAACACAGTAAAACAGCACTAGTGCACTTATTTCTTTAAACTAAACTGAGAAGTGCTCAAAACAGTTTAAAAACAATCGCAACAACTCTGACTATTTTGAGAGAAAATCTGTCACACAAAACCTTTGAAGATGTCCAAAATTCATGTAACAGGATTACAACTTTCTACAGCAGTGTTTCCCAAAGTTGGGGTCGGGACCCAAAGTGGGGTCCCGAAACATCAA